CAGAGTAACCATATGTAAATGACTGAAGAGCAGGCCGTAGATATTCAAGAAAGGAGGCATGAGAGAATAAATATGAGTAAAATATATTACACATTGAATCCCACTCCCAGACCTGCAAACTGTGAAAATAGGGCAGAGTGATTAGGAGGAGGGGATGATTAAAGCATTTATGTACATGAGCTTACAAATCTACCAAAATATAACCCATTGATGTGTATAACCAGTTAAAAATTGTTTCAAAAAGGAAAAGAAAACCAGATAAATCTAATTGATAGTCTACTAAGTCTTGATAGTTCAAGAACTCCGGGAGACTGAGGCAGAAAAATCACAAATTTGATCCCAGCGAGGATCAGAACTGACTAACGCCAAATCCAGGAGGGGGCGGGAGAGCCAAGATGTAGCTAAGTATAAAGGCCCAGAGTTCATTCTTTAGTACTGTTTACAGAACAGGGAGGTGGTAAGATGCATATAAAACTGTTCTTAAGGGCTTACTGACTTGAACCTATAGAGGGACAATTTGAACTCTTAATCTAAAAATGTCTTTACATGATTTCTTTTATTTGGGAGACTCGTTGTCTTAGAACTTTTTCTGTTTTTTTTTTTTTTTTTTTTCTCTTCTCTTGGCCTCCTTAAGAATTAAGCTAATTTCTATCACCAATCTGTTAACTCTTGTACAATTTTTTAACACATGATTTAGCTAAGATTTAGAGCAAAGCTATGTTAGTGCCTTGTTTATGTATTCTATACGGTTTCAAAATGAAAAGACTGGTTTAATTACAAAATTATTGTGCCATCTTGTGGAAGGTTGTGTAGTTAGCACAATCTGATTTACCCCAGGGAGTAAAACTACAGATACTGTGATTAAACACTTAAAAAACCTGTTTTATTGTGCAAAGTAGTAGGCATGGATGTCTTCACAGTTCTAAACATACCTACCTTATTTTTAGTATGTATAAATTGGTAGTACTGGTAGTAACTAAAAGTAATGTTTATTTGGTACTGGTAGCATTTGGTACATATTCTATACCGAACAGAATGGTTGAATTTTAGTATTTATGGCCTGAGTTATGATTAATTGATTCATTTAGTGTGTTAGAGTGAAAATGGCTTTGACATTTCTTTGAACACAGGCTATTACTAGCAACATACCCTCCAATCCCTCAGTCCCTGGCTCTTCCGTTTCAGTCTACTTTGTATTCTGCAAGTTCAGCTCTTTCCTGTCACACGTCTCCCTCCTTCTGCTTCTTCTATAGCTTGCTTACTGTGGTCAGGTTCAAATTTTTGGTAATTTAACCTTTTTTAATGATATTTAACCTTTTAACTTTTCCTGGACAATATTCACCACATACAGTTTGACCATTTAAAAGTTAAGTATTTTTTTCTTATTATGTATTTAGTACAGGATATACAGGGTCTCACTGCATAGATCGGCCTTGTAGTGATTTGCCTGTGTTCAGCCTCCCCAAGTGCTGGGATTACAGGTATGTGTCACCATGCCCAGTCTCAATCACTGTCTCAGCACACCCTGGGAGCAGGACTGGCACAGCATGCCAACGATTGAATCCAGCCGCTGCGTCTGCCTAAGCAGGCACTTTAATGCGCAGAACTATTTGACTGGCCCTAAAATTTAAGTATTAAATACGTGTAATACTTAATTTAATTTTCACAGTAGCTCGTCAGATAGCACATCACATTTTAGAGATTAGGAAACCAGTGGTTAAGAAACCTGCTGATGGTCAGACAGCTGTAGTAATAGAGCCAGGATTGTAGCTGAGAGTTGCTTGGTGTTAATTTCTTAAAACCTTCTGAATATTTTTTTATATCTCTATTCTTGTTTTTCTTTTCATTCTGCTTGAAGAGACTTCTTCTTTGTTCCCCCTTATGCCTACCAGAACACAAAGCCAGCTTCTAATTGATAGGACAAGTACCACCAACATCATAAAGCTTCCTGAGTCCCCTCAACCAGACATACTGTCTTACACTTTTGAACTCCTACAATACTTTTTAGATTTCCTATGGCACTTAGTTTATCATGTGTTACAGTAATATATGTACCTGTTCTTTGTTCTTTACGAGATTGTAAATGCAGGACAGGGACTTCGTTATCATTATCTTTTTCTTCTTAAAAATTATTTGAAATGCTTTGCCAGCTCAGATCAATACTTATTAACAGATACTGCTCTAAGTGCCAGGGCAAGTGGACAGCCAGTGTAGCCTGTGCTCCATTAAGAAAAACTACAGGGAAGGAGTTGCTCCTCTGTGACTGTATGCCCCAGGATGTACATGAACTGTTATTTCCTGTGTGCAGAAGGACGAATTTTTTAGTAAGCCAGTCTGTTCTCCTCCTCCAAAGCTTAACGCTTTTCCTTTGCTTTTTTCTCCTTCCTTTTCTCTGTAGTTCTCCCCAGTTTTTACCCTAAGTTTTAAAGGTCCGTGATATCTGTATATCTTTTATGCATTAAATAGTACTTTTGCTGGTCTTTGTTTCTAGATAATTTACTTTTTGATGAAATGTTCTGATGATTTCACTAAATTTTTGTTACACCTTTTCATTCAGGTATGTCAGAAGGTCCAGCTTTCATTCAATTCACTTAATTTCACTATTAAGCTTCAACTTGGACCACAAAGCATTCATGGACAAGAATGACATCTTGGCTTAATTCCATTAGGATGCTTACTCTGCCAGATTTTATTTTGCTCAGCTATCAATGAGGCTGTTGTAGAAATGTGGGTTTTCTTTGCTGTGAGAATTTATGCATACAAAGAGACCTGCTTTTCAGAAAGAACATTGGGAACCCAGAGTCCAAGAGAAAAGGTTATTAAAGTTAATGAACCAGAGTAACCTTATTTGGAAGGTGCCCAGAAATGCTATAAAACAAAAGGTCAAATGCTATAGCTGTTTTAGTTATATACTCCCTCCTTCTCCAAGCTTCAGAATTTAATAGGGTTAATTGCCTTCATAGTGAGGCCTTGGCAAATAATTTTTAAATCAGATGAAACTTCTGAATTTTTTCCTCATAAAATTATGAGTATCTGGGCATCACTGTGTGTCATTTGTGAAACAGAATGTTACTAATTTAATATTAATGGACTGTTATAGTTTTGAAATTTGACAGCTTTTTAGTGGTTTAAAATAATTGCCATTATTTTACATTTATACAGTGCAAAAAGTGCTTTAGGGACTGACATATACCCAGAATCAGATAAAATAATGCCATTTTTATTATATCTGTAGTACTTAGAAACTACAATTTATTTTGTTCATCCTTGACAGGCTTCAGAATGTTCCCATGTAACTCAGAGCTAAAGAACTTAACACCCAGAGTTTTGTAAATGAAAATATAAGACCCTAGGAGGTTAAGTATTCTGTACTTGATCACACAGTTAGTGCTAGAACTCCATCTTGCTTCAATAGTGCTGTTCTTATCCAGAGAGCAGACAGCATTGCTTGGATTTCTCCAAGTTAATTGGGAATAGATTGGGCATTTCACTGAGGAAATTTACTGAACAGTTTGAAATTATGAAAATATGACAACATTTCTTAGAAAACTGCCCAATTCTATGAATGGCCAAAAATTTTTTCAGTGTTACAGTATTTCCACATGCATTGTGAATTATAACTGCCCATGGCAGGACACAGCACAGCCTTAGGGTATGTCAGTTGGATGCTCAGTGACTTTCCTATTTTCCTGGAGTGTTTTACTTAACTTGAAAAAAAAAAGTTGGTGGGCTTATGTAACCAGCAAACATAAGATGCTTATAAAATATGGAATATTTACAGAAAGGCAAAGAACAATTACTATATAAGAAAGGACTTATGATATAGTTTTACATATAAAAACTTACTATTTACTAAGCAAGAAATCATTTTGACCCAGTGATAAAGTTTATACATGTAGTAGGCATATTAGAATAAAAGAAACCAAATTCTCAAGATATAATACCTACAATGACCTAATGGTTATTTTCTGAAGAGTTAAAATTACCACAATATATTTGAAAAAAAAAATTTTCCTGGGAATACCAAAAATATGAGTTAATTATTAAGAGATATAACTTAACAACCTGCAACAAGTTTTAACCATTGTTTTTGTTATAGCATTAGAGAAGCCACTTTTAATATGACTCTTAGAAGTAGCCTGGTGTCCTTACATTTTAATACTTTATATTCCTCTAGGGTTTCTAATTATAGTCTAACAAATTCCATAGACCTCTAGTAGATGAAAAGTGACTGTGTTTTTTAAGAAGCTGTTAAATGTACACTTTTTATGGCCTGACCCATGGGGAAACTTGTAAATTGTACATCAGATTCATACTTTCAGAATTCAGTTATCTCTTTACCCACAGAGCAGCAGTGGAATCAGAATTTTGGGGAACATGACTTAGTGATTGTGTTTTTAAGTAAATCTCTCAAAATAATGATCTGTAGCACCCTTTCCATCTATTCATGTTTAGGGAATAGTAGGCTGACATACATTTTGAAAGTTAAAATGTAAAAATCCCATTTTAAAATTTCTCTTGGCAGCTGCCTTCCTCATGGCGGCCAGCACGTTGCTCAGCTCCTCACACTACCTCTTGGCACAGATGTATGTCCCCACCCTTTTCTTGATGAACTTGAGGGCACGCTTGTCCTTGGAGACCTTGAGCAGCTCCATGGCACGCCTCTTGTAGGGGGCAAAGCCACACACCTCCCGGATCATGTCCCACATGAACTTGGTGTGTTTGGTGAGATGTCCGCGATGGCAGCTGTGCCTGGGTTTGCTCACATTCTTAGTCACCTTGTGGCCCCTGTTGGGGCCCATGGCTGTGGGGTAGCAGAGGGCCATGGCTACTCTTCTTCGATGGTTGCTCTGGTGGAAGGGCATTTTAAAATTTCTTATGGTGTACCTTTTAAAATAATCTCTGAAACAACTGGGTAAGACTGTCAGGGTTTGGTTTGGTATGGTGTTTGTTTTTTTTTTTTTTTTTCCTTTACACACTTATTTTTCTGATTTTCACAGAGACTGTTTATTTGTTTGGTGGCTGGGATGGAACACAAGATCTTGCTGACTTCTGGGCATACAGTGTGAAGGAGAACCAATGGACATGTATCTCTAGAGACACTGAAAAAGAGGCAAGTTCCTAGACTTTTCATATACTTACATTATATTGGAGACATAGGTGTTATATTTTTTATGCACGATTACTTTCTTTTTTCAACTGTGATAAAAAAATTGCGTGTACAAGGTTAGTTTAAGTACTCCTTGATGTCAGCTTCTATGCCTGATTTGTGAACTACTTGATGTACAAACAAGTCTATTTTGGGGCTGGTGAGATGGCTCAGTGGTCTAAAGCACCTACTTAGAACAAGCTTAGCAAAGCACAGGGACCGCGGTTCAATCCCCCAGCACC